ATTGTTTAGACCTTTCCCACTTCTCACAAGTCCAGGTTAGTGTGCCGGTAAACCACACAGGCTCCACTACCGATTTTGAGAATGCAAATATTAAAATTGCTATCTAGCTAAAATCTACTTAGTGAAAGAGTTTCCTCACCATCATTTTCATGAATCGGAGAGAAACCTTATGACACTTAGATTTACTGGTGTATGTGTTCTTATCCATGTGAATTGTCAAAACCATAGTCACAAGACAAGGATAATGATAGATCCAAACTCATATGGACTGAACTCAGTCTTGATTTCTTGCCACCTGGCAGCTCAAGGGCATGCCATTGCTTCCAAGTTGTTTCACAACCAATTGAGAACTCTAAGAACTCATATGCAAAGCCAACTTTAACTGGAATGGGCACAGAATATGTCAACATGAAAGGTTATAAACCTCAAGTCGTGTGCTAGTGAAGAACTTCAGGTTTTATTCTTGATTAGTTCCTGAGACTTTCAAGACCTTTAAGACTCCCACTGTCCTCTTGACCTATAAGACTCCCTTGTAAAACATCCAAGAGATAGTGCGGATTCTAATCAAGACAAACACTTCACACAATTGGCCTTAGTTGGTCTTTGTTTTATCCAAAACATCACAACTTACCAATTTCAAATGTACAAGAGTAGGAAACTTTTACTCTTACATTTGACAAGTGTTTTAAACCTTCTTTAAGACATGTCACTAAAATTACAATCTTGGAGTATGACTCTAAGACTTATATTGGAACGAAGTATGACTCATCTTCTTGACTTAACCATTTCAACAATTCAAGATTCCTCTTCTTAGTCATAAGAATGCACTAAGATTCCCTTAGAGAAATAATTGTTCTATGGTTTCTTAATCATTAAGATGATCACAAAACTGATACTAAAGTACTCTCCCATCTTTTCAGATTTGAGAAACTTTTATCTTTCTGCCTAAGTTGATTCTTCTTATTCGCTCTGCCTTACATTGGAATCTTTTCCAATGTCTCAGAGTTACATTTAAGCTTTTAAATATAGCCATATTTACTGAGCTTTAGTAAACTATGACGAATAATCTTATCAATATTTTGTGGTGGACTTAATCTTTGCACAAGAATGTGTACTCGATCCCTTAGTCCATTACTTGACTCACACATCCATGTGAACAAGTAATTATTCTTAATTTTCCAATACTTGAAAGTTCTCATTCATCATGCTATACAACTTGCATGATTCCAAGTTCCGGTCCAATTGAAACTTGGGTGATGAGAATCTTTCCTTATTTGGTAAATTTAGACATTACCACAAATGAAAGAATCAATTTCATATTTCCACTCTTGCTATTAATGGAATCATATAAGCAACAATTTTTCCTCAAATGCCATTGTAAGGATATTTTAAAATAAATAAAATCAAAAAATTCTCTTTTATTTTAAAACTTTGCGGAAAAAACTTATCCTTACAATCCATATGAAAACTTGTTGTTATCTATTCCTAAGCAATATCTCATAACTCCTAAGAAGTAGCTCAAGAATCCAATCTTCAAACTATGCGATAGAAATCCATCTACGCGATCAGATTCAACGTATTCTTTCTTTAAGTTTCTTCACTTTTCTTTGATTCTTAAAACATCACCATGTGACCCAGTCACATCATGTATCAAGAATCTCATAATAGAAACTTAGCAGAGTAAGATAGCGGACTTTACCTGAAGTAGAGTCAAACTTATTAACTTTAACATCCTTAGGTATGTTTGGCAGCTTTGCAACTAATGCCCCTTTCTTTGGCAATATAAACGTATGGACCCTTTGATAATGGTACACGGGACTATCTCAGACTTGGCCTTTCTCTTTACCATTTGGTCAACCGAGTTGACTATGGTCGATCCCTTTCCAATGGGAAGAGAGAGCTTTACTAGATATCCAATGTCATCATTGTCAATGTCCATAAAGTTTTAGGAAGCCGATCATAGCAAATAGATAAGATCATTAAGGGTCTTGTCATAGTCTGTTTCATAGGTGTTCCAAAAGAACTCACTATGTGACTTATAAAGTAGTTAAACCACCAACTTTCTCAAGACTTTGACACCCAACTCTCCCAGCTTGTCAATGTGTGACTACATCTCCAAGAAGTGATCACACCTAGACCTTTCCTTGCCAGTAGGGCTTGAGTGACCTTGAACTTGTGGGTTAGGGAGAATAATTTGAGGAGGTTAAAGAAGTATGATTTCCAAAGGACATCATCTTCATTTAGGAAACCTTGTTTTAAGAGATTTGGGAAGATCACAGATGTCTAAACTAGACATCTTTTGGGAGATATTCAAGATAGTTGATCTAAAGTCCTTAATATGACACCCAATATGAAATATTAAGGATAGGACCCAACAAACTATTTTATAATTTAGAAGAGGGATGCCGTAATCCAAGCTATAAAATATTTGAAGGTAGGTGAATGACGATTCACCAATTTCCACCAAGATAAACGAAATGTATTATTAGGTTTTAATTGCACTACTAGAAAAACAGCCTTTTACGACGCGCAAAACACGACGCTCTTTGATTTATGCTACGCATTAGAGAGCGACATTAAAAAAGAGTCATCTCTTCAAAAAATTTAAGAATTTAGGTCGCGAATTACTGAGTGCCCTTAAATTAGTGTCTCACGAAAAGAAATTAAAAACACGGAGGGCGCTTTATTTTAAAGGTGCGTCCTCTATATTTGTCGCTTTATAATTTTAATGAAAAGGCGTGTTTAGTAGAGGTGGGAAACGAAATCCCCAAAATTTTGAAAAGTCGTCTCTACCTTCTTTCTATCTTTCATCTTCTCCCCTCTCGCTCCCTCCTTCTCTCTCCTCTCTGATCCGCTTCCCCGCCACTCCTGACCTCCTTATCGATCTCATCAAACATCGTGTTCCATCCTTAATACCTCGCGGGAATCTAAAATTTAGAAAACCCCATACTCAAAAAGTCTAAGAAACTAGGGTTTTTTCATCCCTCAAAGAACGACCCACATCCTCCATAGATCGATCTCTATCGCTTCATTTCTCACAAGAAATCAAACACTTTACGTTCATAGGGCCACAATTGCAAGGATGCTCACTTACCTTTCTAGAGAATACCTTCGCATATATAACGCGATCATCTTCACAAAAATGGCTGCCACCATTGCTTGAGCGGGCTCAAGATACGATCGACAATCAGAGCTCAAAGATTTCGACCAAACAAAAACCGGCGTCAAAGGCCTCGTCGATGCCGGAATCCAATCGGAGCTAGGGCTTTTTGTGAAGAACTTGCCCCACCTTTCTCTACTGCGTGTTCTCTCTTCTGCATCTCCACCCTCCAATGAAATCCAATCACAAACGATTATATAACAGTTCTTTCTCATGCTCGAACCCTAGATCTCACCTCGTACCTTGCTACATCTCTATAACAGTTCTTTCTCATGCTCAAACCCTATTTATTTCTCATGCTCGAACCCTAGATCACTAACGATCCTATAACAGTTCTTTCAATTGCTTGATTTTGTCGATTCGTATACGATTGCATCAGCAGCTGATCCAGTCTTGCACCAAAATCTGTTTGAAGAAGATTAGAGATAGAGGGAGAGGTAGGGCTCGTGGTGGTGGTGGTGGTCGAGGTCAAGGAAGATCATTTGGTGGTGGAAGACCAACAGGGCCACCTCGCAGAGGTCCCCTTGCTGTGAATGCTCGACCAACAGGAAGATTATTTTATGGCTGATGTTTATCTAAAACGGGTCGTAATCCCTTCAAAATTTAGTTATATTCTATATTTTGATATTTTGATTTGGAGGATTTGTTTTTTGATCGATGGTTAATGATTATAAAGTCGTCATGGAAAATCTTAATCCACAAAGGTTTGCAGGTTCATATACGCTCTGTAATTTAGATTTGATCTGTCGATAGTTTCAATCTCAAAGATCAGATCTTTATGATCAGGCGTTTCCAGGTTCTTCCTCTCTTATGTTGTTCTAAGCGTTATCAGGTTCTTTTTATGGTCTCTTCTATGAGGAGATGCAGGTTATAATTAAGAATTTATCTACGAATCCACTTGCTGTGGCAGATCGATAGGGTTATTAGTTTATATCTGGAAGAAATTAAAGATTATATATTATTATGCAAGTGGGTCATGATGATAATTCCAGCTTCTCCCTGTATGTTATTATCTTCGATCATGGTTATGGCAGATGCATCAGGTTATTGGTTGATAGGTCGATTAAGTTATCACAAATACTGTTATCCTTGTTCAATTTCTTACCTTGGATGATAATTTGATTTTGATTTGAATCTGAATTAAGGCTCTACTATGCCAGATCCATAGGGTTATTGGTCCGTAGGTAGGGAGAAGTTTTAAGTAGATATTATTGGCATACAATTTTAGGTTCTTCTTCTGGTAGCATCTTCAATACAGTTTTGATTGCATAGCTTGGTGTGGCATAATGCCCTGTCTATGTTTTTAGGGGCCGAAAATTAAGACACGATAATAACATCTTTTAAAGAACTCGTATATCAGATTCCAGATTTTGATGATCAATTCATGTGGGGTGGAGTAAGATTTAATTGATAGTTAGTTTTTTTATTTCTGCCTTCTCAATTTGGTTTTGGCATCACAATCAAGAGCAGTTAATTAGATCATTTATTGTGTCTGTAGTAAAATAATTGTTTTAAATTCTACAATCTCTCTCTCTCTCTCTCTCTCTCTCTCTCTCTCTCTCTCTCTCTTTTGCTTTATGTAGAAATTTACTAATAATTGTTTTTTTTAATAGGCATTGATGATTTGGATAATTGGTGAAGGTGATGAAAGAATTGATATGCTGATGAGCTTCTTGAAAGCTTCCTTGAGACTTTCCCTGAAGAACCTGCACAGTTATAACCCACACACTGTACATTTGAAGAAACAAATTTGGTATAACTTCATCCCTTCATCAGTAAATTTGGTATAACTCATGTTTGTTCAGATTTAATGGTATTCTTTTTGACTTTGACAGCTAATATGGGACAGAACCCTTGGGTTGCCACTAGAGAGATCAAGAAGATCCCTTGGGTTACCAGCCACTCCCAATGCCATCATAGAAGAAGACCCTATTATGTGGATTGGTTTGAAATAAAGGCACTTCTTCAAAATGTTGGGAAATCTTTTTGTCCAAATTATGTGGATTGGTTTGGATTTGAAGCTGCTGATATACCTCCAAGAAGTGCTGATAAATCAGTTGTTTCCAAATTTCTACAAACAAATCCTTCTGATCATACTACCTTTAAATTAAAGGTAATCCAAACTCTTTTATCAAATTTCAGTATAAATAACACAGAAACAGTATTTTAATTGCATGATATATTTTTTTTATTCAGGAAATGGTCAGATTGATGAAAGAAAAACGTTTTCCTGCTGCTTTCAAGTGTTACTATAATTTCCACAAAATTAATTCGATATCTAGTGATAATCTTCATTATAAAATGGTGATCCATGTGCATAGTGATTCAACCTTCAGGAGATACCAAAAAGAGATGAGATTCAAGCCAGATTTATGGCCACTATATCGAGGTTTTTTTTGTTGAAATTAATCTGTTCAAGGCAAGTAAAGAGAAATCCGCAGAGATTTCCAAAAATACCCCCGGCATTGGAAAAAATTACAAAGATGGCAATGAAACATCTACAAAAAACAGTTTAGCAGATGACGATGCAAATCTAATGATCAAGCTGAAATTTTCTTACATGTAAGGTATTATATATATATTATCCCCTAGTTATGTGGTCGAAATTACTTTTATACCCTTCTGACATAATTCAGTTATGACTTATGACACAGCTGCGAACTTTCTTGATTCGCAACAGGTTGTCGATTCTTTTCAAAGAAGGTCCAATTGCCTATAAAACCTACTACCTCAGGTAACCTTCACACATAAGGGCAGTTATGTCATTTTGATATCATTGTGTCATAATCAGACCAAATTGCATGATGTAGGCAAATGAAGATATGGAATACATCACCAGGAAAGTAGAGACAACTCAGTAAGATGTTGGATGAATGGTAATGAAGGAAGAAGGATTTAGTATTTTTTTAATAAGAAAAGAATTTATAAATTATATAAAATTTTAGGGCAGTGTACATAAGAAGGAAATACGGGAACAAACAGTTGTCATCATCAATCTACTTGAGTGAAGCTGAGCCTTTTCTTGAACAATATGCCCCTAATGAAGAAGTATGGAGCCAGGTAACTTTTTCTCTTCTTTCCTTCATCTGCTGCACCAATTGTTCCAGATTCCGAACGTTCTTATTTTATTATTTATTGTTTATTATTTTTTTATAAATGGATATAAATTTGATTGGTTGTTATTTAAATTTTTTGTAGGAAGTGAATCAAATCCATTTTCTCTTGATGCATTAGCAGTTTTCATATATCGTGTAGTCAACCGAGTCAATCACCCTGTAGTTAAAGTGTTCTACAACAATACTTTTCTGGGTGCCTTAAGGATGCTACTAAAGCCATTGGAGGTAATATATATATATATATATATATATATATATATATATATATATATATATATATATATATATATATATATATATATATATAAGAAAACTAGTGATAAGGAAACTAATATTATAACCCTGAAAAATAAAAATAAATTTGAAGAATTTCAGTAAGCACCTGTGGTAATTAGCGAAAAGAAAACTAGCTAACGATTAGAAAACTAATATTTTATCCCAGAAAAATAAAAATAAATAGAGATATAAGGTCATAATTAGATCCTATTT